TTTGCTGATTCGCTGATTAGTTCTTATCACATTCTTATTTATCCATGAGAAAGGGATAGCTTTATGCACGTGGTACTAGGTAGGAGGTGTCAAACTCATTCTTCATCTCAGTACATGCATTCAACATCTCGTTATCTCTAGATATTAGCGGTGGTTGGCTCTCTCAAAGAGGTCCATGCCTCACCTCATGATCCAAGATAGGAACACAAAACTCAATCATCATGTAAGCACTGTTTAGACCTCTCTAATTTGAAATGATCTGCGGTTTATCTCATAAAAACATCTAACGTCGTACTTTCAGTGAAGACTATCTTGAAAGTTCAATTCAAGCTAAAGGTCCGAAAAGCAATATACTGTATAATCTTACAAAAAGATACTCTAGACCTGTATAGCGAATGCAAGAACTGGTTGGACAATATCCTTTCGTTTGGCTAGGCCACGAAGCAGTGCTCCGGCTCCAGAAGCAGGATTATGCAGATCCTCAAAGATGTCTGAAACTTATCACTCTTACGACGTTGTTTCCTACGGTGGGATACTTTCTTGAACTTACAAAAACAATGACAAACATTACACAGAAACATTAACAACAACATTTACAGAACATACAGCACGTAGATTATTTGAGATTATAAGAAAAATTCTTACCATCTCCTATTATCATTTTTCTTCCTACTTGCGGCTTTATTCTTTTTTTAGGGAAGTTCATTTTCTCTTCAATATTTGTTTTTGAGGAAATGTGAAAACCTAATCGCGTTTTCTATCAAAAAGAACATACCAAACTTGAAGCGGACATATTCTTCTGCGTTATCATCCCACATTTCTTCGTCTGCCTTAGTATACGACATGAGCCGAAACAGAACAGTCTTTATCAAGTCCTAAAATGATTCCTTTAGAAAACGCAGAATCCGAGAAATTACCTTAACTGTGTTGGCTCTATTTTGTTGGAAAAAGAATTATCACGCTCTGGCTGCTAAGATTTAAGTCGAAACTCGGAAGAAGGTTCTTAATTTTTATTTATCTAAGTTCACAGTTAGC